TTTACCCAGATAACTACTGAGTGCTTTATGATTAATTACATCAAATTCTTGCTATTTTCAGACTTTAGACAACCATTGTACAGTTTTATTTCTGTTGACTTTTTAGAGTGCTCATTTTTATTTGAGGGTACTAGGATGACTTTTTGGAAGAAATGTGTGATTCCTGAAAAAGACACTAAGTACTAGAAGTTTTGTATTAAGCCTTGCAAACTGCTTTATAACACAACTTGCACTTCTACTATGCCCTGTATCTGTTCCCTGTCAAACTCTTAAGTTTTATGGGATTTTTTTCAGTTTTCTAGATAATTTTTTAATGTAAATAACACTACTGCACGAATGACCAGATGGCTCTATGGAGTCATTTAGAAAGTGGACGCAAAGCACATTTTATTCCTGTGTTTATCAAGTAATAATCATGAGATCGTGACAGCCAGTCCACCTGGGTTTAATTTCATATCTATGAACTGCTTAATATGCTGAGTGGTAAGACCCTAAATTATCTGGTTTGACAGAACGACTTGTTGGAAGATGAGAGGATTGGGCTGATTTGAGGAGTCTTCTTCTGAGGGTTTTTTTCCCATTTATTTGATTGTAAACCTCCTTGACAGAAAGTCTGCATGTGCCTCCTGTTTGTATTGATTCAGTACCTTTTTTTATGAACATAAAAGAAAGCCTTTCAATAAATGACTACTGCCGGTGCTAGCATGGTATCAACCCACAAAGTGTGACAGAAACCAGCACAGAAGATGGAAGTGTAAACTAAACTCTTCCTTTTTTTCTGATGTTAGTAATAAATCCTTAGCAGGTAGTGTAATCTTTCATACCAGCCAAATATGCTGAAAACACATTTCACAATCTCCTTCTAAAAATTCCCTAATTTCCATATAAAACCTTCTCTTAATCCTTTGTGAGTTGCATCGGCAGTGCCAAATTGAAAAGAACAGTGACAATTTTAAACTTTTAACAAGAAATTATTGAAGGCAAACACTCTATGTGTCCAACTTGTGTCTGTGTGACAAACCAGGGGAGATGTAGAGAGGTAACCAGGATCCTGATAGTCTTTTTGCCCTTATGTCAAGTATTTGTGAAGTTGCTTTGAGTCAAAAATGAGAGCTATGGATTCTCTTTTAAAGTATATTAAAAGTCACAGTGAATAAAAGCGCCCAAATCCATTCTATTCTTAAATAACATATATTTTCTATTTAAGTAAGCCCTCCTGGACTAGGACCTGTATCTCTGGAGATGAAGCAAGTGCTTTCAAGGAGACGTTACTCTATCATTCACACCATACTTTGCTCTGTAGTAATGTGGCACAGAAATTGCTTCTTCCATTTTGTTTCTATAGCTTGTAGGAACCACAATTTATTTGTTATTTTGGAATTTGGTGTCAGGGGAGAGTCAGATGCTCTTCTCTCCTGCTATATGTGCTTCAGCATTTGTACTTCTGCTGTCATTTGGTCAGGTCCAGGTTTCTTTTGTTGATTACATAAAATTAGGTAAGTGGCTTCACAACAAAGTGTTGTCCTGTATTTTTTCTGAATTTTAGAGAGATAATTGCCTTTCCAAGAATTAAGTAGAAACAGATAGATCTGTCTCTTAGACCCTTTATGATTTCAATGTAAACATGCACATGTTGCAGAGCATAATGTAGATTGAAAGTAAGCAAGATCTGTTGCTGGGACCTGGAATGAGAATCCCAGTGGGAGAATGTTTCTGGCACAGTGGTTTTAGTATAATGACTTTTACGGCACTCATTGGTCAGAGCTGTCATGGGAGCTTTTGTGACTCGATTTTGGTAATTCCTAGAACCCTTCAGAGCAGTCTCAAACCTGTTTTAACTTACTTTGGCAGGATGACTTGGCACACAGGGTCTACAGAGCAAAATGGTTGCCAAAAACTCTGCTACCTTCTGATATGCCTCTCTACTGAGAGGAGCTGTGGGATTCTGGGATCCAGCCAAAAATCAGGGCTAAGAGCATCAAATCAGTCCAATGGCTTTTACCACACCCCTTGGATAGAGAAGGGTAACACGGAGAGTTAATACAGTTATTTTTGTTGGCTAAGACTCAGAAACAGAGAGGTTACATGAAATGAATACTAACTTTTAAGCACTGTCCAGTCTCTGAGGCTTAGCTTTGGATTTCAAAAGAATTCTCATCTCTTTCCTGTACTTTTCCCTGGTTTGGGGTTTTCCTACTGGTAAGTGAATAGCCTAACTCAGCTTGTCCCCAGCAGAAATTTTAGTTGAGATATTAAATAGACATAGTCACACTCTCAAAAAGCTAAAATAGCTTAATTTGGTTTTCATATCTAAGAGGAAATCAGCCATTTAATTCCTCAGAAGATGTTAAGTGATGTTTCTCTTGGATTCCTGCCTGCTTAGGAGTGTTGCTCACAGTGTGTTTTCTGAACACACGGTTTGAAATAGTTGGGATGAGAAGGACTTTTATGTTGAATATCCTGTTGTCCTTAAGGACTATAGTAATAATAAATGTCTGGTGCTGAAATCTTTGCTCATACAAGTAGTTGTTTACATGAGCAAACCTACTGATTTTAAAGATTTATTTGAGGAAGTATTGCTCCTGTGAGTGAACTCTGCCAGCTGCAAGTCTTTGAAGACTACATGCTACAGGCACAGCCAAAGTGAGACATTTTGAATCTGTACAAAGACCCATGAGGATGACAAATGATATTTGGAAAATAAAGTTCTTAGAGAATCCCGCAACTTTTGTTTTCCCCACTCCTAAGCTCTCTTGTCAAAGAAAATGTCTTACCTCAGTCTCCATTAATGGCTCTAAGACAGCTCTAAACTCTCTAGCATGGCTGTGGGGACTCTGTACCACAAGCAGGGACATCAGCAGATGTCCTGCTCAAAACTTCACTGGATGTTTCTTTTCCCTCCAGCCTGCCACATTTCTCTATTTTCCCCTGAAGGTGTCTGTTCATACTCATTTTTGGGGCTGGCTTCTGCCTCTGCCGCTGATGCCTGGACCACACATCGTGGCGTGTTACCCTAAACACCAGTCCTTGCCTCAGATCACAACATATGTATCTACATCACTTTCTACATCCTACTGCCAGGATATTTGAAGACAAAAGTTGCTCAGTATTTAATGGCAATGTATTATTAGCTTTTTCAGCTCTGTAGGCAAATTTAGTCTTCCAGTGCATTTTCTTTAAGGAATTTTAGCAGTTTTAGAACTTCACCAAAGTTGAAATAAAATGTAAGGCCACATGTATCAGCCAGGTCTCCAATACCAGCGTTATAAGATGAAATAGCTCTTTGGTATGATTGGATGTAGATGAGATAATGGTAATTTATTTGACATTATCTGAAACAGATGGATCTAAAAGGGACACCTGTACTAAAATAAATGCTAGCTTGCAGTGAATTCACTTGTGTTCCTAGAATTTCTCTAATATCAATATACCAGAGATTCACCTTGCTGGAGGAGTCTTCATGTATCTGAATGCCTAAAAGGAGATATGATTTGGGGATGTAACCTGATGATGTCTTTGTAATGAAGGAAGTGAACTGCACAGGAGAGGAAGGGAATCCCATCAATCTGGCATCAGTCTCTGCATTTCATAGGCAGAAATCCAGTGCTCTCCCCTCTATAAGGTAGTGGTATTTTTTTTTCAGGGGGTTCATAGAGTAGTGTAAGCATTTAGGGTGTGGATTCAAATGGTAACAGAGAAGTTTGTTTTAATAGCTGCAGGATGATGTTCCTTGTGTTTATCTGACTCTCTACTGAGTGCCCAAAAGATGTAAGCCTGTTACAAAGGCCACTATACAGGCTTGCCCTTGAGAGTGACATGTCATAAATCATGCTTACTTGTCTGTGATGCTAATGATGTGCTTGGGATTGCCACTGCTGGGGCTGGCAGCACCATCCCGAACATCTCATGGTTTCTTGGCATAAATAAAATAAAAGAATTGTGCAAAAAACAGAGGTACCTAGGAAAAACAATTTTAATCAGACAAACTTGGTTGGTGAAGCAAGTATTCAAGAAGTTCTTCCTTTGTCCTCTGGGACAGGATGCTTTATGAGTGCTACTGGAGACCAAGTGGCTTAAAGATTTAAATAGAAGTCAAATGAACTGATTGTTATGAGACTTCGTTGTTTATTTATTTCGTAATATACAATAACAGGACAGAACTGCAAAAGTGAGTGCCTGTATAAATGTGTATGAAGTCATTCATACTTAGACCTTTCACACTAGTGCTCTGACTCTTGTGTTGCTCAGCATTGCTTACCTTGGGCAACCACAGATCACTATTAGGGATTGCATTGTCACTAGAGGAAAATCACCAACTCTTAAATCACTGACCTTGACCCTGGTATTATTATTTACTACTTAGAAAATAAGTAATAAACTCTCCCTTCTGAGATGACCTGCCATGCAAGCTGACAAACTCCTTCCCAAGGGCCAAAGAATGCAAATTGATATGAAGATGCAGCTTAGAAGGTCAAACAAACATGAGGTCACCTTTACGCCCTGAGTCAATAAGGTTTTATTTGCTGACTGACAGGGGTCTTACAACCCACTCTGAGATCACATATCATCACTCCCCATTTTATTTATGTGGGAATAAAGCAAAAAAAATGTGCATTATATCCCTGTTTTGTCTAGTTATAATGATAGAGAATGTCTCCAGCTGACCAAGGTGTCCTCATTAATGATTGTTCTATATTTAGCCCTTGCAGAGACCGTGTGCCCCCAGTTTAATCAAAGACCTGGTAGTCATGGTAACGACACAGAGCATCTGGATGTATACGATTTGGCAAACACTGTAATAAAGTGCAAGATGAAAAGAACACAACAGCATTAGGTGAATTAATGTATTGCTCTTTTTTACTACAGATTTTGAGGTGTTTATAAGAGCTCCCTAGCCATAAATACTCAATTGTTTTTGCAGAAAATGAGCCCTATTAATACAGGTGACAATTACTAATCTCTTTTTTTGTTTTGTTTTGTTTCTTAATTTCATTTTGCAGGTATATCAGCACTCATATACGGCATATTATGTCCTCAGCAAAATACCTCATGGGTAAGCAATTTTTCAATGTCTTCATTTTAAAACTCAGATGTTAAGAATTCTGCAAAATAATGTATATCGTGACAAATGGTTTCCTGTGACAGTTGAGCTGTGCGTTGCACAGAAGATGACATAGTCTGGAAACAGAAATACTCAGCTTCCCCAGAGAGTCAGACTACATGAATTTCATATTCCAGTCTTCAAGCTTTTGGCTAGAATATAGATGTGTTGGCATCTGGCTAAGAGCTGCAGTTGGCCACTCACCAGAGCACTGCCAGAGGATCTATCCAAGGGTGTTTAGTCCCTTATATTTAGTCAGAATTGAGGCATCGCCCTTCCATTTTGCATCTCTTGGCAGATTCCTTTGATACAAATGCTCTCTCTAGCATCCCATCTGAAGGCAGATAGACTAGTAGTCTGTTCCCAGGATCCTGATGCTGCTTAGATACACGCACTCACAATTATACTGAAGCTACGAGCCTTCGGGTTTATAGTTTATCTTTTCAGAGAGTGTGAGGTAAGTGAAGACAAATAAGAGTGCCACATAGGTTCTACACTGCATTTCTAAGCTTAATGAAAGCATATTGCCTTACCTAAAGCACGTAGCATGAATGGTTATGTATCATTACAAGTAACAAACTTACATCACACAATGCATCTTCCTTTAGGTCCCCTATCCACTGGAGGTCCTGAGGTAGGCTCAGTGTTTATCACAGGCATCAATTATCTTGAGGGGATCCTTCTTTAGCTTTGATTAGTTGCAATTTTCTAAATCCCCCTTACTCAGCTTTGTCTTTGTGGCTCTGCAGGTTACCTGCAGCTCCAACTCCATCACTCTTCAGCTCACCTCACCTGTCTGGTTTCTCTGGTTTCTACCTGTAGTTTCTACCTGTAGTTTCTACCTGTAGTTTCTACCTGTAGTTTCTACCTGCTTTTCCCTTAAAAGATACCTTTTTTTTTTTTTTTTTATATACTTTAAGGACTCGCCCAACTGGTCAGGAATGGGATGCCGTCATACCAGTAACACACATGTAGGCATATGATGATACATGATGTTTCAGAGTGACATTTCCAAATCACTAATGGAAATGCATAAGTTGCGCAGCAAAACTCCTTAAATCATTATCAGTAAAAACAAAGCTAAAAGCCAGGAAGCTGATGCTGGGTTGTGTGTTTAAGATATGATATTGGTGATAACTGTGTGGAAATGGTAGAAAGGGACAATATAGTTGTGCTCTGCCATTTCTGTAGAACATCGCACATCATTCTTGTTTGAGCACATGATTCTCCCTCACCCATACCACCCTATTAAATGGATTACTGTGTCTCTGACTTAGGAAGACAGTGGAGCAGGTCCTAAAGTCCAGTGCATTTCTGCATCCATGGGCCAGGTGCCTGTCCCTGAGCAAAGGCAGGATCCTGGCCATGCCTGTGTGCTCAGTATTTCCTTCTGCTTTTTTAGGCAACTCCCACTATGGCTCTGCACAGTGGATCAGCAGCCTTCCCACTGGGAGGTCCTTAGGGCACCTCACTGTTTAACACAGGAATGATGTGTTAAGGGCAAAAGTCCTAGAAGTCAGACATTGCAAGACGTACATTTTTGAGACCCATGATCTCTTTCCAATCCAATTTCTTTGGCACTTTAACCAGTGGTTTTAACAATAGAGAAGTGCAGATTTAATGGCAAGATAAAAGCACATCTCTCGGTGTTTTTTCCCTATAAAAATACTAGTTATATTCAGGTTTTCCTCAAGGATTTGTCTCAGCACACTTGTCCACACACACACAAAAAACAAAACAAAACAGCAGGTTAAAAAACAAAACAAAACAAAACAGCAGGTTAAAAAACAAAACAGCAGGTTAAAAAACAAAACAAAACAAAAAGCTGAAGTAACTTTCTTTGGCTTCTACCCAGCAACAGAGAAACAATACTTTGTACAAGAAAATCTGTACTAGAATCATACATGATTTAAAATCTGTGAGCCCTGGAGCTTGTGAAGCCTGCTTCCCTACAGCTTGTATCTTGCGATTGACTCACCAAAAAAATTATGACCTTGAGTTTAAGTCGTTTCCACGTACAGTTGGAACATGGGAATCAGCAGATTTCTCACCACCATCCATGTCAAAGCTCTGGTGTCCCAGTGTGACATGCTCCAGACTTTTTCAGTCTCCTTCCCTGCCTCAATCTGGTCTTCAGTTTTTCATTGTTTTTTTTTCTTTACTTTTTTTATGTTGTCAGGGTTTTTTGTTTGTTTGTCTGTGGGTTTTGTTTTGTTTTGTTGGTTGGTTGGTTGGTTGTTTTTTTTCCCCCAGGACCTTACTGGATTTACTTAGCTTTTGAAAACTGCATCTTTCTGGCAATATATCTGAAATCAGCTTGTGGGCTGAAATGGTGTTGAGCAACAGGATGAACACACAGCTTGAGCATGTAAGCTTTTTCTCTGCAGTAAACTCAGCTAACAGCAAAATCATTTGACTGACAGCATAGTTCTATTCCAGACAAAACAGAGGTGGAAAAAGTAGAAGTATCATGTGTTAGAAATGCTGAAAATTAGCAATACAGTGGTCCAGTCAGTTTGCTACTACTACATGATCTTTCTTTGTCTCTGACAACCAGTTTCTTGTTCCCTCCAGCTTTAACTGTATTGCACACTCAGCTGTGTTTCACCTTGCTCTCCGTGTTTGGTTGAGCAGTGGTGCAGGCAGTTGGAGGGTTGGATGCGTCAGAGGAGAAATACCCAGTATAAGGGGAAAAGTTGGAAAGTGAGAGGGTGCCAGAAGGCACAGAGTTGTTTCAGACATTAGTGTCCCAACAACATGATACAGTGGTGGATCAGGCAACCCCGTAGCAGGAGGAGGGCTGGTAGGATTGCTGCATTTTGTGTTGCTGCAGGTATGGTTTACAAAGTGGTTTAGGCTGTAGGTACATCTGTAGGCATTATAAACCATATTGCACGGTAACAACTGCGCTGATCTTTCAGGAGATCATAGTGCATGTGAGTGTTGGAAAGGGTGGCACATTACCGTTTCGCTGGAACATGGGTATTTATTGTTCCTTTGGAGTTCTGTGTATATTTTAAGGTGGTGCATGAAGAGAGAGAACAAGTATAGCAGGTGAACGTGATGTAACAGATGATGAAATACATCAACTGAAAGTAGAGCCTCTGTTGGATGAAGGGGTAAAAATCTGTTCATCACATATTTCATATTTAACACAGGAATATTGCTCTGATAGATGTGTGTGGATGAGGGTTGTTGAGGGCAGGACTGAGCACACTGACACAGCACAAGATACGGTTCAGTTTGACGTTCCAGGTCCTATTGTGACAACAAAGTTTGCAACCCACAGGCAGCATCCTTGCCCTCCACCTGACGATAACATGAGTGAGAAAAGCCTTTGGTACCAAACAAGAACCGCTTTGCCATTTCTACAGCTGTTCATGCATTAGTCCTCTTCTGCAACTAGGCACCAGCTTTACCCCCTGTCGGTGTGCGCCAGGGGCACCTCAGCATACCTCCAAATCAGCAGCTGAGGCAGTGACTGCCAGAAAACGAACTCATTTCCCCTCTGCAATATCCCTCCTGCTCATTAGACACTCACTCCTGGAAACAGGCTGTAACAGTGTGACATTCCCTGTGCTCTCTCTACCTTGTTCCTCATCCTTGTCTATGATCTGCCTCATCAGAAAGGCCAGACAGTTTAGGCTTTGTATTCACTCATGCCCTTGCTACACCCCTGCTGAGGCTAACTAATAAGGAAGCCAATTGATCTAATCTGTGGTATCACTTTTTAAATAATGTGACGTTAATCTGCCAGTATAAATTGCTTTTAAAAGGGAAATTTCTAATAATTTTTGCTGTGTTCTGCAGACTCTCCAGATTCAGGCTGTGTCTGAAGTCAAAAGGGGCTTGTACTAGCATTTTACAGATTCCATTCCAAGCTTCCCATAAGTTTGACAAGTCAATTTGAGCACGTCCTTAGAACATATGTTCATAAATGGTATTTTATACAGGATGTAGGACTACAACATTTTTCCATCAGAGCTGCTGTAGAATTAAACTCCCCGCTTAAGGAGTAGCAGCACAATTTGGTTTTCTATAGGACAACTAGTATATGCCAATGACATAGACTCAAAGGATCTTATTTAAAAGTGAAAATATGCCTGAAGTAGTAGAAAGAGTATATATCCCTGCAGGGATACTGCACAGATTTAATTTCATCTTCTTTTGTTATTTCAGCCTCCTCACAGCCTCTTGGTAAACTTGGGGTAGAAACCTGCACTGTTTTTGCCACATTTGCCTTCTGTTTTCAATGACCCGTGTTTTTTAGTTTTCACAGGGGGAGCCTACTAAGAACGGCACATCTTATTTTCCTGGGCCGAGTTGTGTAGGGAAGTTATGCTCAGTTCAGCTTTCCTGCACGTCACCCATTTTTCTCCTACTGTTCACTCAAAAATGAGATGCTGGTGCCGTGTGCCATCTAGTGGAACAAGCCGCTGAGCTGGCTGCTCATGGTCCCTGGTACGAACATCTTCTGTACCGTCCCATCTGCTTTCCTCTAAACAGTGCTGCTCTTCAGAGGTACCTGCCAATAACTGCTTACAGCTGTCTGCATTATAAATATTTTTACAGATCTCCTCTCGTAACCCCACAGTTGCACTTGCTGCATTGCAATTGCCAGCTAGTTGTAATTTAATAGGTACTGCGATAGTATCTACAGGTCTAGATGTGGAACAGGGAGCTCTTGTGCTGGGAAAAAGGGGAACACAAATACCATATACAGTTATTTCACAATGTTATTTTTCCTAACTTTGTCAAATAAAAATTTAGCAGTACAATTTAAGCAACAACCTACTTATGAAATCCAGCCACTGAAAATGGCTTTATTCCTTTGTGGGTTTTAATAATGTTGCTCCTGCTGAGTCCAATATGGATGGTCTGTCATGTACATCCTTCACTGAAATAAGGGAAAAAGCTTGGTTTGTTCAGAGTTTTCATGGTTAGGCCATGAC